AAGCATAAGAGTAAGTAGTGATAGAGGAAAAACAAAACTATTTCATAGTTTATTACTAAAGAATTGAGCTTTCTGTTATAAATACTTTATTTCATTACTTAAAAGTAATACATAACTATTAATCAGGTGGTTAAGAGGCTGGACACTTCCACATGGCCAACCATGGTTCAAGTCCCGGACCTGGTGGCTTACTTTCTCACTTTCTCACTTTCTTACTTTCTCTCTCCTTCTCTGTGTGTGTGTGTGTGTCCCTCTTTGGTCAAATCTTCTCTCTCTCTCTCTCTCTCTCTCTCTCTCTCTGTCAATGTCTTGCTCTGGTCAAAATAAAAATAATAATAAAATAAATGAATAAAATTAAATAATTATTTAAAGAAATAATGCATAACTATTAACAAACTATTGTACCAATTCGACATTTGAAATCCAGTTTCTAATTAATCTCACTAAGAAGTTTAAAGCATCTCAAACTAGACATGCTAAAGTGAACCCCAACCTGAAAAATATGTCAGTTTTTCATTCTCTATCTTAACTCAATTTATTCCAATCCATTCTGTTATGAAAGACAGAAATCTTGTAATTGTCTTTGTAACATGCTTCTCTTTGACACATATATTCAACTTTTTAGTGAAATAATGATCATTTTACACAAAAACTTAGGAAAAGCCCATTCCCATTTTTTAACTTACAATGACATAGTCCAATTATTACCACTCCTGATCTTCCCACATCCCTAAGGATGGACTTTGCTCAATCTGTTCCAACAGACCCATGGTGGCAGTTTGAAAATATTTCTTTTTCTTATGTCACCAACATGTTTACTCAGAATAGCTCCCACTTCTCATAGGAGAATGACCAAAATGATTTTCCTCGGCAAATTGGCCCTGTATGAACTGCTTCCTTTGTGCTCTTGTCAATCCTACCTAAGACCGTGCTCTCTTTGCTGCAATTTTGATGATTTTCTTTCAGTTTCTTGAACACTATCCCATCATGTGAACAATGTACATACTGATTCCTCACACTAGACTATCCCTCTCCAACAACTATTCTTTTTATCAAATTAATCCATGCTCCTCCTTCAAATATCAACTCAATAATCATTCCTAAAAGTTTTCCTTTGCCTTATGACTACATCTTTTCTTATTACATATTTTGTGACACTGTCTAACTTCCTTTGTTTCCTGATTCTTTTCCATGTTTGCTATGATTAAATTGTAGTTTTTTATTTCCTTTTATTAATATCTGCATTTCACTTAATTGGAGATTCCAGAAAGGAGGAAGCATTCCTTTATACTCTCTCTCAGAACTTAGTTCAGAGCCTTACAAGAATGGGTATTCATGAATTGCAAAACTTTGAATGTATAAGTGAATGAGTAAATGACACAGTCCTTTTAAAGGTTTTTGCCCATTTGTGAGATTCAAGTACATATTCTTCCTCTAAATTACTGTTACTACCCCACAGATCTTACGCCATTCTTTACAGTTAAGAAAATTGACCACTGTGAGAATATACTTTAACATATCATCAGACTGTCTTTACAGAAAGTAGACATAAATAGATTAACTATTCATTCAGCACCTACTATATGCCAAGCATTTAGGTGAGTGATTTACAAAGTCTATGTTCTTTATATTTCATAATACCAAAAAAAAAAAAAAAAGTATTTTTACTTTCATTACAAAGCTGAAAACATTGGGGCATAGAGAATTTAGGAAACTTCCCGTGGTTATAGCCTTAGTATCCATACTCTTAAATATACTACTGTATTTTTTTTCCTCCAAATTATGCCTTTTCACCCTCTGTTCTTCAGGGTCAACACTTTGAATGGTGTAACTGTTCACTTCCTCCATACTATAGGTATGGGGCAAAATCATTTGTAAAACAGGCTCAAACATTTTCGTTTTTTATTTTTAGCCAACTACTCATATAAAATTCCCCACATTGTGTCAAGATGGACGTAGCAATGAGGTTTCTAGGCAGTGACAAGAATCATATCTTATTTAGACAAATACTTAAAAATTCAAGATCTGGTTAAGCCTGGTCTCAAATATGAGCTTCCTATTAGCAATAGAAGCAGATTTAGGAAGGTTGAACACTGAGAGAAAACTGGCTAGCATGATCAATTTCTTAAGCATGAAAGAAAAATAAGATCGAAAGTTAAGAAATACA